GAGAATATCTAAGCTAGCTTTAGAGGCGCTAGTCTAGTCCTACACAACCTATAGGCTATGATATCTAAGCTTAATATAGTAGTGTAGACACTTGTATAATTACTATGATAGATAGCCGCCTAGTAGGCGTAGACACTACGCAACGCGCGCGAGGTTAAGGCTTAAAGTACTCTTATTTAATAGAGAGTAAGAAATCGCCTTAGGTCTTTTAAAAATTCTCTTAATAAAAAGGTTATATAGCTAAGTAAAGAAGCTTAGTAAATAGTATATAAGATAACGCTTATAAGGGAGAAAGTAGCTACTCTTTAAGAGGCTCTAAATATAGCAAATAAGCATAAGAGCTATAAGTAGCGATATATATAGATAAAAGAGACTCTTACTATAGGTAAAGTACAAAAAGTATTAGCTAAATAAGTAGGTAGTAGTTATAGTAATGGTAAGAGTGCGTTAAAGAGGGTGTAAGGAGAGTAGTAGTGCGGGCGTTGTAAGCAGACTAGATATAACGCTTATACCTACGTAGTTAAGATAGATAGTATAAGTAATAGTAACAATTCTAATAATTGATTTAGTATATTATAATAGTTTATTAACTATAATAAAAGACTATAATAACGTGTTAAAGTTAACGCGCTAGTGGGGAGTGACTAACTCGCTTAGGTGACTAACTCGCTTATGAACCACGTTAATTAGTGAATTATGTATTAGTTTTTGTAGAAATTACGCTAGTATGATATCTATTACTAGTCTTTTAACTATCTTCTTCATAAGTAAGTTCTTCTTCAGTATCTTTAGTAGACGTAATAGTAGTAGTAGTAATAATATTAGTAATAGCTTTAGTAGTATTAGTAGTAATAGCTTTAGTAGTATTAGTAGCTTTAGCTTTAGTAGTAATAATAAAGTTTATAATATTATTATTGATACATGTATTGAAAAAAGTAGTTGATATAAAAGAAATTGAAAGTAATATTTAAAGAAAAAGTATTGTAACTTCAAGCTTTTATATATAAAAGCTTAAGAAAGATAGTAAAGTAATATACTGATCAAGTAAGTAAAAGTAAAAGGTAATAAAAGTAATACAATTGTTGTTATACTATATATATTATCATAAAATGATAAAAATTTCAGAGCTAAGAATATTTCAAGTTTTTATCAAAAAACTAATAATAAATAATAGAGCTAAAAAAGTACAAAAAAGAGTTAAAGTAGTAGTATTCAATATAAGTAAAAATATAGTATAATACTTATAAATACAAAAATAGTAAGCTTTAAAGCTTATTAGTATATATAGCTTATATAGTACTTTACTAAAATATAAGTATAAGTAAATAAAGCTATAATTTCAAAATCTTCTAGCTTACTATAATAAAAGAAAAATTTAAAAAAAGGTAAAAGTAGTAGTATAGAGTTTCAGTAAAAATATAGTGTAATACTTATAAATATTAAAATAATAAGCTCTAAAGCTTATTAGTATATAACGTGGTTCATAAGCCAGTCGGCCACCCAAGCGAGTCGGCCACTTTGTACCGTCGCGTTAACTTCAACACGTTATCACAGCCTTTTATCACAGTTAACAAACTATTGCAATATACTAAATTAATTGTCAGAATCGCTACTATTACTTGCACTATCTATCTCAACTGCGCAGGTACGAGCGTTGTGTCCAGTCTGCTTGCAACGCCCGCACCGCCGCTCTCCTCGCACCCTCTTCGACGCACTCTCACCATCACCACGACTGCTACCCGCCTGTTCAGCTAATACTTCTTGTACTTCGCCTACAGTAAGAGTCTCTTCTGTCCGTACGTATCGCCGCTTGCGGCTCTTACGCTTATTTGCTGTGTCTAGAGCCTCTCGAAGAGCAGCTACTTCCTCCCTTATAAGCGTTATCTGATATGCTATTTGCTAAGCCCCTTTACTTAGCTGTACAACCTTCTCGTTAATAGAATTTGCAGAAGACCTCAGGCGGTTTCTTACTCTCTATCGAATAAGAGTACTTTGAGCCTTAACCTCGCGCGCGTTGCGTGGTGTCTGCGCCTCCCAGGCGGCTGCCTGTCGCGGTGATTGTACTGGCGTCTGCACCACCACATTAAGCTTAGATAGCACAGCCTGTGGGTCGTGTGGGACTAGTCTAGCGCCTCTGAAGCTAGCTTGGATATTCTCCTTCGTGATAGACTGCTCAAAAGCAGCCTTAAAGGCTGGTAGGAAGGTTTCCTTGCTAATATAGTGGGTGCGGTTGCGTGCCAAGCCTGAAACAGCGTCGCCATACTTACGCTTTAACAGCGAGAAGTAGGCGACGTTAAGGGGCTGCAATAGGTGAGACGAGTGTGGAGGCATGTAGAGAAGAATAATATTCTTCTCCTTGCAAAGATCTTGAAAATTGATGGAGCAGTGGCTCTCATAGCCGTTAATAATAAGCAGTCGATACCCACCTACAGTATGCCTCTTTGTATGGGTATCAAAGTGCTTTAACTAGGCAAGACTAAGCTAATTATTCGTCCAGCCATTAGGACTAACTTCAAGAACCTAGTTAGCAGGCAAATCCTCAAACTAGACGTTGATAAGCACCTTGCCCGCAAAGACAACGAAGGGTGGTATTTAGCGACCTGACGCGCCCACGCCTTAGATCACAGTAACCCACTCATAGTTGCCTAGCTGTACCTATTTCTTTTTCCTATATCCTTCTAAGCCTGTAATAACTAACTATAATAAAATCTTGCCTATTATAAAGCTAGTTTCGTTAAAGTTGTAGATATCATCGTCTATAATACCCCACTTCTGCTTTGTCGCCTAGACTAAGTCAAACCAGCGCTGGATAGCCACTAGATCCTCGCAGGCGGCTCGCTGGTGATTATAGGGACGGCTCCAGCGCGTACGGAGCTTAGAAGTCCGCTTAACAAAGTTGTCAACCTAGTTCTTGCCAACAGGGTTGCCACCACGCTCCTCTAACAGTTTATTAGCTATTGCTTGAACCTCAGCCTTTATAGGGGCAAATCCTCGCGTAGACTTTTCAAGAATACGCCTAACAATAGCCTCCTCTTCTAGCTTATTTAGGCGCTTTGAATTTGGTTTGTAGTCGCGTTAAAAGCGCTTTCCAGCGCGTTAGTCTTGGAGAGTAGTTTGAGGCACGTTATAGATAGAAGCAGCACGTCTTTAGCTTTAAACACGTTGCAATTGGACGTTAAAAAGAGCAAGTTGAAGATCAGATTCAGAATAGATTAACAAATAATTGTGTGGTTAAGACATAACGCGTTATAGTGTTAACGTCGACGCGCCGGTACAAAGTGGCCGACTCGCTTGGGTGGCCGACTCGCTTATGAACCACGTTATAGCTTATATAGTACTTTACTAAGATATAAGTATAAGTCAAATAAAGCTTTAATTTTTCAAATTTGATAACTTATTATAAAAAAAAAAGTATAAAGATAGCTCAAAAAAAGTAAATACGTATTATTAAAGAATACTCAATAATTCTTAGTATTTCAATATATATCATAGTAACTTATAGTATCTTAAAGTTAAGTAGTTATATACTTTTGATTAACTAGTTAAGTAGCTAAAAACTTAGTAAAATTTATATATAATTTATAGTTTTTTAAGCTTTAGCTTTAAATGTTAGTTTTTTATGAACATTTTTTTAAAAACTGTATAATTTGCTAAAAATAATACTAAAAAAATAGCTAACAGCTTGTAGAATAAAAGTAGTAGTAAAAATCTCGTAAGGTAATAAATTAGTATAGTAGCTTATTATATAATCATAAGTAGAGTTTACTATAAGTAGCTATATGAAGCTATAATACTATAGTAAGCTAGTAACTAAGTATAGCTTAGTACTACGTAATAAAATAAAGCTTATTAGCGCAGCTACTTTACTAATAATAAGTAATTAGTAATACCAGGATTTTTCACCGGCGGCCAGAAACCTTACCCCCCATTTCTAAGCCTGCTGCCTGCGCCTGTCCAGTGGCTGTGCCTGCTCCCTGAGCCCTCGCGCCTGCCCGCCCGCCGCCCTCGCGCCTGCCCTGGCCGCCCGCCCGCCTGCCTGCCTTGGCGCGCCGTGCCTGCCCTGTCCTGCTGTGCCTGCCCTGCCCTGCCCTGCCCTGCCCCTAGCGCCTTCCGCGCGGCTGCTTGGCCAGGGTAGCCAAGTCACGCACGCATGCACACTATTACGTGCCTAGCCCAAAGACACTTTGCCATCTCGTAGTACATCCGTTGCATCCACCCTCCCACCCGCCGCCCGGCTGCACAAGCCACAACGCTTCCTCTCACGCCTGCCATTGCTCCACGTCGCCTGTGGCCATGGACGCTCGCTGACAGAGGCCCGCCCCGCCCGTCGTTGAAAGCAGATGCTCCCTGGTCCCCTTGGCGTAATCCCGGACATAGTCGTGATAATAGCTGCCTGCCCACACCATGGCCGACACCGAACCCCCACCCCCGCCAGCAGCAACAGCAGCCGCCGCCGCCGCCATCGAGGAGCGCGAGACGCCGGCTGCACAAGAAAAAGAAGAGGCCAAGGACGAGAGGGCAGAGCAGAAAGACAACGAGCACGACGACGAGGGGGACAGTGAGCACGACGAAGATGACGACGAAGAGGAGACCAGCTCAGACGCAGGCTCCGAGCAGGCCCCAGAAGGACCATCACCATCACAACAAGAACAACAACAGGCAGCAGCAGCAGCAGAGCCACCACCACCACACGAGACAGCCCCCCCTGCGACCGCCCCCCCTCGCGAACAAGCAGACACATCACCGTCTTCACCACCCCCCACAGAAGCGCCAGCACTCGCCGTGCCCGATGGCGCAGACGCGCCGCGCACCTCTGAGCAAATGTTCGACCACCGCCTCCCGCTCCAGAATCGCCCCCGAACAGACTCGCAGTCGACCGTCGCTACAACGGCGACACGCCCCTCGACACGCAGCTCCCTCGTTTTCGTCGTCACGGCCCTCGAGACAATTGCTGCGTCCAAGGACGCCCGCAAGAACAAGAAGCTCGGAGACAGCACCAATGCCGCCCTGTCGGCCATCAAGAACGAGGGCGACCCCGCGCGGATCAGCCCGGAGGTGCTATTTGAGCCCCTTCAGCTGGCTTCCGAGGCCCCCAATGTCCCCGTCTCTATCGCTGCCCTCGACTGCATCGGCAAGCTGATTAGCTACTCGTATTTCTCGGTCCCCTCCGAGCCACGGGCCGACAGCAGCGAGGCGCCGCCCCTGATTGAGCGAGCCATTGACACAATATGCGACTGCTTCCAGGGCGAGGCCACGGCCCCCGAGATACAACTGCAGATTGTCAAGTCCCTGCTCGCGGCCATTTTGAACGACAAGATTGTGGTGCACGGAGCGGGATTGCTCAAGGCCGTGCGACTCACGTACAACATCTTTCTCCTCTCCAAGTCTAGCGCAAACCAGCAGGTTGCTCAGGGTGCATTGACCCAGATGGTCGGAACCGTCTTCGAGAGGGTCAAGGCCAGGCTGGCTGCCAAGGAAGCTCGCTTGAACCTGTCGCGCGTGTCTCTCAACGACAAGAATGTGTCTGAAGAGAGCGTACAGCAGGACGGAGCTAGTCCGGATGGCGACGAGGCCAACGGCGACGACGAGCACGAGGAGTCAGCCGCGCCCAGCGACAAGGCCGTTGACCAACACACGGGGCCCAAGATTACCCTGCAGAGCTTCGAAAACAACATGAGCTTCAACGACGACCGCATACACGACAATGCGCCAACGCTCGTCACTCGCATCCAAGCCAAGGCGGGATCGCGCCAGGTTTCTGGCCACGACGGCTCGTCGCCCCACGTCAACACCGACGAAGAGGAAGAGGACGAGATATTTGTCAAGGACGCATACCTCGTCTTCAGGGCCATGTGTCGCCTAAGCACAAAGAGCCTGTCAGTCGACCATGCCCACGACGTGCGCTCGCAAGGCATGCGCTCCAAGCTCCTCTCGCTGCACATGATCCACACCATCTTGTTTAACAACATTGCCGTCTTTGTGTCGCCCTACGCCACGATCCGAAGTGGCAGCGACGAGCCTACGAGTTTCATCCAGGCCGTCAAGCAGTACCTGTGTTTGAGCCTTAGTCGGAATGGTGCGAGTTCAGTAAAGCACGTGTTCGAAGTGGCCTGTGAGATTTTCTGGCAGATGCTCAAGTTCCTGCGCATTTCACTCAAGAAGGAAGTCGAGGTGTTTCTCAAGGAGATCTACCTGGCAACGTTAGACAAGCGAAGTGCCCCTGCATTTCAGAAGCAATACATTTTGACAATATTCGGAAGGCTGGCTTCAGACCCCCGAGCCCTGGTAGAGATCTATCTCAACTATGACTGCGACCGCACCGCGCTTGACAACATGTTTCAACGCGTTGTCGAGCATCTGTCCAAGATATCAAGCAACCCTGTCACAATCACGCCCATGCAGCAGCAGGCATACCAGGAGCAGCGCGAGAAACAGTCCAAGCAGCCCGACTGGCAGACCCGAGGCACGCTACCACCCTCGCTCACCACAGCCTCGATGAACTCGGCCCACGAAACAGAACACAGCTTTCCCCAAGAGTACGCCATGAAACAGGAGTCGCTCGAAGCCTTGGTCGACATACTGCGCTCTCTTGTCAACTGGGCGCAACAGGCGCTCCCCCAGCACACAAAGGCAAACCATACCGACTTGCGCCCATCGCTTGACGATCTGAGGGTATCCATGGACACGCGCACCATCTCTGAATCCCCAAGGATTGGTGCAGACTCGGGCACAGTCACGCCGCTTGCCGAGGACGACTACAGCCAACTTGAAAAGGCAAAGCAGCGGAAAACCGCCCTCTCAAATGCGTTGAGACTATTCAACTACAAGCCAAAACGTGGACTGAAGGCGCTGATAGCAGAAGGCTTCATTCCCTCGAACCGTCCCGAAGACATTGCTCGCTTCTTCCTTGATAACGACCAAATAGACAAGACGGCACTTGGCGAGTTCCTCGGTGAAGGAGACGCCGAGAACATTGCCATTATGCATGCTTTTGTGGATTTGATGGACTTTACAAAAACACGCTTCACAGATGCTCTGCGCCGTTTCCTGCAGAGCTTCCGGTTGCCTGGCGAAGCCCAAAAGATTGATCGCTTCATGCTCAAGTTTGCCGAACGATACATTACCGGCAACCCCAACGCATACGCCAATGCCGACACAGCCTATGTCTTGTCGTACTCGGTCATTATGCTGAATGTCGACCAGCACAGCAAAAAGATGAAAGGCCCCCGCATGACGGCCGCGGATTTCATCAAGAACAACCGCGGCATCAACGACAACGCCGATCTCCCCGAGGAATATCTTCAAAGCATATTTGATGAAATCTCTCAAAACGAGATTGTGCTCAACACGGAACAAGAAGCGGCTGCGGACAAGGGTCTTCTCCAACAGCAACCCGCCGGAGGACTCTCTAGCATTGGTCAAGTGCTGACCGGCGGCGCTCGGGATTCACAACGAGAGGCAATCGTTCAAGCCTCAGAAGCAATGGCGAACAAGACTGAGCAGCTGTACAAACAGCTTCTTCGTGCCCAGCGGAGAACAGCCGCCACTCCTACAGTGTCCAAGTTTATTCCCGCCTCATCGTCCAAACACGCTGGGCCCATGTTTGAAGTTGCATGGATGCCGATCCTCACTGCTCTCTCGGGCCAAGCTCAGGATCACAATATTGAGATTGTTCGCTTGTGCATCGAGGGCATCAAACTAGCAATCCGAATATCCTGTCTGTTTGATCTCGACAGCTCACGGCAGGCATTTGTGGCTTTCCTCGCCCGCTTCACCAATCTTTACAACGTGAGCGAGATGAAGGCCAGGAATATGGAAGCTCTCAAAGTATTGATTGAGATTGCACAGACAGAGGGAAACCTCCTTCGGGAATCCTGGCGCGAGGTTCTCACCAGCGTGTCTCAATTGGATCGCTTTCAGCTCATTTCCGCTGGTATCGATGAGCGTGCAGTCCCTGATGTGCTCAAGTCGAACTCTGGAACTCCCCAGTCGCGGAAAAACCTCAACGTCCCGGCTAAGAGCCGAAGAGCGAACTCGCAGGCCGGTAACCTGAGTTTCCATTCTGACGTAGCAGAGGAGAGTCGGTCGACTGAGATTGTTAGAGGAGTCGACCGCATCTTTACCAACAGTGCAAATCTGTCGGGAGAAGCGATTGTCGACTTTGTCAAGGCACTTACTCAGGTCAGCTGGCAGGAAATCCAGTCTTCTGGGCAGAGTGAGTCGCCGCGTACTTATAGCTTGCAGAAGCTGGTGGAGATTAGTGGCTACAACATGACGCGTGTGCGTTTCGAGTGGACCAACATCTGGCAGGTACTCGGCGCTCACTTCAACGAAGTGGGCTGCCACACCAACACCAACGTGGTCTATTTTGCCCTCAATTCTTTGCGACAGTTGTCAATGAAGTTTATGGAGATTGAGGAACTGCCCGGTTTCAAGTTTCAAAAGGACTTTTTGAAACCGTTTGAGCACATTATCAACAACACCAACGTCGTCTCCGTCAAGGACATGGTGCTGCGTTGTTTGATCCAAATGATCCAAGCCCGTGGAGAGAACATTCGCTCTGGCTGGAAGACCATGTTTGGGGTCTTCACAGTGGCTGCGAGAGAGCCATATGGTACGTCAAGTTAATCTCCAACATGTGCGACGGCTAACGTTCAGCAGAGGGCATCGTCAACCTCGCATTTGAGAATGTCACTCAAGTGTACAACACGCGCTTTGGCGTGGTCATATCACAAGGTGCCTTTGCCGACCTGATTGTCTGTCTCACAGAATTCTCAAAGAACTTCAAGTTCCAAAAGAAGTCGCTACAAGCAATAGAACTCCTGAAGTCGTCTGTGCCCAAGATGCTGCGAACGCCAGAATGCTCGTTGTCTGCTCGCGCCGGGTACCTGAAAGAATCCGACATGGGTTCTTCCATACCAAAGCAACCCAGCCGTCAAACACAAGAGGAGCAGTTTTGGTTCCCCGTCCTGTTCGCTTTCCACGATGTCCTGATGACAGGCGAAGATCTCGAGGTGCGCTCAAGGGCCTTGAGCTATCTGTTCGACACTCTAATCAGCTATGGCAACAACTTCCCCCGTGAGTTCTGGGACATGCTATGGCGACAGTTGCTGTACCCCATCTTCATGGTGTTGAAATCAAAGTCGGAAATGACCAAGGTTTTGAACCATGAAGAGCTTTCTGTTTGGCTTTCGACAACCATGATCCAGGCTCTGCGCAACATGATCAAACTCTTCACGCACTTTTTCGATGCATTAGAGTACATGCTCGATCGCTTCCTTGATCTTCTGGCGCTTTGCATATGCCAGGAGAACGACACGTTGGCTCGCATTGGCAGCAATTGCCTTCAGCAGCTCATACTGCAGAACGTCCAAAAGTTCACACCAGGCCACTGGAGTCAGATTGTGAGGGCATTTGTTGATCTTTTCCAGAGGACAGAGGCGACGGCGTTGTTCTCCGCAGCCACTGGCGGATCCTCTCCACAGCAACCCTCATTAAACGGCTCGGGGAATTCGGCGGACAACGCTACGCCAACAGTAGACGGACCGCCAGGCGAGCTGTCGCTGCAGACACCTACTGAGGAGCCAAAGATGGCCAATGCACTTGGTATCAACGGCCTGTCAAGCGGACGGCGGCCATCGCTTGTTGCCTCAGACGCGAGCACGATAGCCGCCGAGCAACGCATGCCCTCTCCGCTACCTAAGCGTCAGACACAAGATCTCGAGGATTATCGTCCCGAGACCCAAGACCTCCAGCAGCCTCCGGTAGTCGTCACCGCTGCCCGGCGGCGCTTCTTCAACCAAATCATCACAAAGTGTGTGCTCCAACTACTCATGATTGAGACTGTGCAGGAGCTGTTCACCAACGATGCTGTGTACGAAAAGATACCCTCGGGTGAGCTCTTGCGTCTCATGGCGGTGCTCAAAAAATCGTACCACTTTGCCAAGCGCTTCAACGCGAACCGCGATTTGCGGTCCCGACTCTTCAAGGAAGGTTTCATGAAGCAACCGCCAAATCTGCTCAAGCAGGAAAGTGGATCCGCATCGGTCTATGTGAGCATCTTGTTTAGAATGTATCATGACACATCAAACGACCGCGCGGCCTCGCGTGCCGACACGGAAGCTGCACTGATCCCGCTGTGCGAAGATATAATCGCCTCGTACGTGGAGCTTGACGAGGAGACGCAGCAGCGCAACATTATGACTTGGCGGCCCGTGGTTGTGACTGTTCTCGATGGTTACACTGGCTTGCCCACAACCGACTTTGAAAAGAACATTGTCATTTTTGCGCCTCTGGTTGTCGGTCTATTGGGCACAGAAATGGCGCCAGATGTGCAACGCAGCGTACAAGCCCTGGTCGGGCGCATTTTCGAAACCAAACTGGGCATGGACAAAGTACCGCTTATGCCGGCTATCAGCCGTAGTCCTCGCGGCAGCTTTGTAGGAAGCCCTACGATACAGAGGAGAGCTAGTAAAAGTGGACGGTAGAGTGATCCTCTTTGAGTGTTCCCTCTCTGTTGTCATTTTTTCCATGAATCAAGCACCATTTCTGTACAATTTACCACTTCGGAACAGGGATGTTTGTGCGTTTTGTATTGTTGCTTTTCTTTTCCGATTGATTAGGGTTAGATGTTGGAGTGGTGTTTTAGCTGCTCCTCTACACCAATACTTTTCTGGTATACTATTGGATCTCGAGTCCGCATGAGGCAAAGTGTTTGGGGAAATGATGAAGGGTGGACAGCAAGAGGGCGTTTTATTTTTGCCAAAGTGCAAAAAGTTGGACAAGTTTATTGTGAATTGGAGACAGTTTGCTTTGAGTATGTGATTGTGCTGGCATGTATGGTTTTGACGTGAGTTGAGTGTTCCCAAACTACAAGTGTTAGGTGATTGGGTGAGTAATGATATATGTCTCTACTGAGAGAGAGGCTTGAGTGCTAGGGAGGGGTGGGTGTATAGTAGGCCAAAGCCAGGTCCTGCGGCTGTCTCGTCTTTCACTCGACTTGATGCACCTTGTCGTCTGCGGGTGCAGGTAAACACAAACGACGATGTCATTTGAATAGAGAGCAGAGAATAAGTCATTCCAGAGCATGGTCGGCTTGGTTGATGCTGGCCATTCAGTTATTTGTTGTGTATGCCTTGAATAGAAAGAAGAAGAAAAATATCTTACTTATTCTATGTGTACTGTGTGTGTACTGTACTATGCTGTGAAAACCGCTGCGTCAGCACGCCAATATCACTCATACAACAAATAAAGTCGTACTCTATTCAACCCTTGTCCCAAAAGTGATATCATGCAAGCTCGCCATGTCGCTAAACCTTGATGCTAGTAGCCCCACTGGCCAACCCTGTCTGTCCGTTCCCCACCATTGAGAACCCTCGAAAAAAAAAGGCATCCCCGCACAAGCAAACAGACCTGTGCATGGACATTGGTGTTTCGCAGGGCCAAAAAAAAGTTGGCGACCGATGTGGGACTCGAACCCACAGCCTCAGCCTTGGCTCAAAGCTCGCTGTGCGAAACTAGGAGGGCTGCGCGCTACCATTGCGCCAACCGGCCAATTGTTGAGAAGCTTGCGTAGAAGATGGTATATGTCTGCATGGAATTGTGGAGGCCCGGCAGTAAGCTGGACTAGGGCGTCAGAACCAAGACGGGGGGGTTTTTGGCTCGAGGTGCGGGGTGCGGGCGACTTTTTGTTTTTGACGAGGGGCGATTCCAAAGCGAAATAGTGGGGGTGTAGTGGGTACGTGGATGGGGGGTTTTTTTTGCTCAAGTGCAGCAACTTGATCTACTTGTCTAGCACCTATCTTGGGATATGGCGTGAATAATAGAAGGCCGGCAAGTGCGACAAAGCACGGGAGAAATAACTGAGATGAGATAAGCAGGAGAAGACCTTTCCAGCTCTGAATACAGCGTCGAGCTAGAGGAAGAATAAAAGGGAGATGAAGTAATATGGCGAAGAAAACAACAAAGGTATCATTGGGTAGAAACACCGAGAGAAGATGACCACGCCATGATCATGCTCAAGAGAAAAAGCTCTTTTCTGGAAGGAAAAAAAGAGAAAGGAAAAGAAAAGAAGGATAAGCCAATGCAAATGCAGAAGAAGTGCTCCGAACGAAGAAAGAGGAAGATTTTGTGGTACAACAGCAAACTCATCAAACATCAAACATGACGTCAGGCACTCTCGGCCCTCGTATTCCTATGCTGACTTCGGTTGCGAGTGCTGTCGCGACTACTCCTCGTAGCCATTTGCCTCGAGGGAGCGGGGGTTGCGGTCCCCTCGTTTGCAGCCTCATAGCCGCCATCGTCATCGGCCTCGCTCATAGTCTCGGCATTGCTGAGCATGCTGGCGCGCTTGCTCTGCCACGGCAAGGGCGTCGGACCGTCATTCGGGGTGGCAGGCGTCGAGCCCGTGGAGGCCTGTCTTTGCTGTGGGAGCGGGGGCTGGCGCGCAGACTGGGCCGATGCGTGGGTGATTGTGGTGGTGGAGCGGAGCGAGGACTTGCGGGTTGCGGTTGTGCTGGTCGAGGCATTGCTCCAGCGGCGCTCGCGGCCCTCGAGGGGGCGTAGGCGGCCGTCGGCGTCGAGGTCGGTGGTGGGGGTTAGGCTGCGCGAACTGCTGCGGGAATGGGAGCGCTCACGCCCGCGGCCGGGCTGCAGGGTGCTGGGGCGGCGTTTGCGCGAGGGCGTGTGGGAGAGGGTGCGGTTGTGCGCGTGGTGATGGCCACTCTTCTCCACGTCTGCACCACGGCCACTGAGGCCACGGGCGCGCTTCCAGCCGCGCCAGCCGGTCCACCACAGCCATCCGCCTTCTTCGCGGGCAATGTCGCGCTGGCGGGCACGCACGCGCTTGCGCAGCTCTGCGCGGCGCTCGTTCTCGGTGGCCCAGTACTCGTTGCGGTACACCTCCCAGTCGTGGCGAAAGTCGGGGGTAAAGGGCTTGGGCAGCAGCAGCAGCTTGATGTAGTCGCCGCCCGGGGCAATGTCTTCCTCGGCATACTCCTTGCCGTCCTCGACGATGCGGTGGCGGGGGCGGCCGCCGTCGAGGGCATGCTTGTTCTCGTGGGCGACGTTGATGAAGTGGTACGAGCTGCCGCCCGTCTCGCCGCCCCAGAGGCCGCCGGAAAAGGGCACGACAAAACGGGCCCACTCGACAATCTCCCTCCACCACGGCCCTCGGATGACGACAATCTTTGCATTCATGCCCCTCAGGCCGCGGTTGGCGACGCCGATCCAGCGCCTGGGCCAGCGCACGCCGCGCTCCCACTGGCCCGTGGCCCAGAAGAGGAGGGCGGTGACGACGCCCGTGATGAAGCCGACCTTTTGCAGCATGTCGAGCAGCCAGTACTGCGAGCCGCCAATGCCCTTGCCGTCGTCGCGCGGGCGCAGCCACAGCAGGTAGAAGCAGAAGCCGATCCACACGGCCAGCAGGCTGAGGACAAACGTGTTCTGGCGGCGGCGCGCGCGCAGGGTGAGGTACTGGCTGCGCAGGCTGGCCTCGAGGATGAGCAGGTTGAGGTAGATTTGCGGGGGCGACGAGGGCAGCAGGGCCGTGGGGTCTGCCATGGCGGGCGGGCGCGGGGGCTTGCCCATGGTGGTGGCCGTGGCGGTGGTGGTGGCCGTCGTGGTGGTGGCCGTCGTGGGCAGGCCGTCGTGGGCATCGAGGGGGGCGTGTGCGAGCATCGAGGCCGAGTATGACGGCGGGTCGCGGTCACCGTCGCCGTCGCCGTCGCCGTCGATGCTGTCGGCGAGCGTCGTGGCCGTGGTGTCTGGCGGCGGCGCGCCCTTGACCATCTGGTCCAGCGTCTGCGTCATGTTGGCTGGCGGGCTGGCAGATTGGCTTCGGGGGGGTCGGGGGGCGAGGGGGCGCGGAATGGCGGCGCAACTTGTATGTGCGGGTCGTGGTCGTGGTCGTGTCTGACGGCGGCGGCGGCGGCGGGTGATGACATGTGAAGGGCGCCAGCAGCAGGCCGTCATGTGCTATTGCATGGCGGTGCACGTCTATGTATGGAGTGAGTATGTGCATGCAGCGTGCAGCGTGCAGGCAATAGTGTGGCAGCACGAGAGCGAGCGGGCTTACCCAGCGACTTTGCCAGGACGAGCACCAAAGCGGTGGCGGTGAGGGCGGGCGAGTGCTGGCATGTCTCGTCGCTTTTACCCCACCACGACTAAGCCGTGAATGCATGTGCATCGCCCACAGCCCATGGACACGTCCGCGGCCCATGGCGCTAGCATCTCTCTAGCATCCATCCAGCTGCACTTGCACCCCTCGACGGGCCGCCAGCCATGCAGGGCCTCATGTGAGAAGATGATGTCGCCAAGTCAACGGCGCCTTGAACAAGTCAATTGGACATTTACACACACCGTCGGCGGCGCGCCTCGCCTTGAGTCCTCGCCAACGCCCAACGCCATGCAACTCTACGCCTACGCCAGCCTTCGGCCCTGCTCGCGCCGCCTAACCTCGTCCATCTCCTCCAGCATGACGCGGTTGAACTGCTCCCACCCATCCAGGTACACATGGTGCCCGGCCTTGTTGATAATCACCACCTTGGCAACCCCGCCGTCCTGCTGCCGCTCTTCGGCCGATGCGGTCGCCAGGATGCGTTCGCGCTCCTGCTTCATCTTCTCCTCGGCAGCAAACCCTCCCGCAACGTCCATCCAGTCGTTCTCGCCGTACATGAAGACGACGGGGAACCCCTTCTCGCGCTGCGCCGCCGCCTGCGACTGCTTGGGTGCACCGTCGGCGTCGACCGTGGCGGCATCATGTGCCTGTATCCACTGCCGCCCCACGCCCTGTATCCTCCGAATCAGCGGGCTGCGCGCGAATGCACCCGGTGCCAGCAGATAGCCGAGTGCATACTCCGAACTGCCACGCTGTCGGAACAGTGCATAGCTGTAGTCGTGCAGCGCCTGCGCCTCTTCCTCTGGGAGATGGGAGAAGCGCCGCGACGTCCACCCCGACACAAGCCGCGGTCCCAGCGGCCCGGACCAGCGCACAAAGGTAAAGGGCGAGATCAGATTGGCCTCCCACAGCGAATACAGCCACCACGGCAGTCGTCGTCTTGGCGGCTGCTTGGCATCCTTTGCACGGTCTGATGCTCAACGTCAGCGTTTCCATACATGCACACATGCAAGCCCACCACCGGCTGCCACAAACCCAAACATACCCGTTTCTTTTTGCTGGTTCAGAAAGTTGTTCTTGTCTGCTGTCGACGCCTGCACACCGCTGTTGTTGGCCGAGGCCGCGTCCTGGGTAAACTCATTGGCCATGGTCGAGTCGTGTGGGCCGGGCATGTCGTCGTCGACGGCGTAGGGGTCCTCGGGTATACCGACGGGCGAAGCCAGAATCAGCTTGTTGAGGTGGCCGGGATACTTGAGCGCGTACGCCACCGCGAGGTAGCCCCCGAGACTGTGGCCCAGCAGCGTGAAGCGCTCCAGGCCTCTCTTGATCCTCCACTCCTCGAGCGCATCGACAAACCACGACTCGGCCTCTGCAATCCTGCCCTCCTTGTCCTTTGCGTGGATCTTGAACGGCGGGCGGCTGCTGCGGCCCATGCCGAGGAGATCGAGGGCAAACACCTTCCATCCCTCGGCGCGCGATATCGCCTCAAAGTTGCGGTAGAAGAAGCCCAGCCCCGCGCCGTAGCCATGCAGCATGACCAGATTGTTCTCCACCTCCTCCCCCACGCGCTCCACCGAGAACTCGTTGAGCGCGCGGTCCTTGCCGCTGAGCGGCACCATCTGCGAGTTCCATCGGCGCGGCCCGTACGGGTCGCTGGCCGAGCTGGTCGTGACATGGTCTTCGGCCTGCCTGGGCGGCCCATGGCCGTCGGTGCCCGTCTGCGAGTGTGTCGGCGGGCTCTGCAGATGGGGCACAAACGAGAGGACGCGGTGCTCCGTGGCCATGGGCGACAGTCCGGCCCACCACTGGTCGAAGCCCTGCCTGGCCGACAAGGGAAACCATTTGGAGAAGCGGCCCTGCGCCTCGCCCTGGTCGGCGGCCCGTTGGCTGGCCAGCACCCTCTGCTGGCCGCCCTGGCCGTCCTCGTGGTGCTCCGGGGCCGCCATGGTCGAGTTTGCCTTGGTGTCGATGCGGATGGGGGTGCTGAGGCTCAGGCTGATGTAGCTGGCGCCGCCGAAGCCGACGCCTTTGTGGACGATGCTGCGGGCGCTGGGGCGGGCCAGGTGGGCGTGGAGCAGGCGCAGGCGCAGCGTGAATGCCGTCAAGGGCCCTGTCGAGGCGAACATGCGCGAGCGCGTGCCGAAGAATGCGCGCGGAATGGTGGCGGTATTTGTCGTGTCGCAGAGCGCCCTGAGGCACTGCCTGCGACAAGATGGTGAGCTGACGTATTGTAGTGTGCCTCTGGACGAGTTCGGCGTGGCGGACAGCGCGACTGCGACGCGGAGATAAACAAAGCCCGCGCCTGGCTCCTCCGGTCGGGCGAATAATCAGCCCGCCTGCACTCGAGCGGTGCTGCCTGCGCTGGGATGCGTGTGGATCTGTCTGAGGATTCTATGTATGGGCCATGGTCAAGTAGAAATCTCCAGCAAAAAAAAAAAAAGTTTGTCGACATTCACGACGAGGGGCGGTCATGTGTCGCCAGAGACACCCCACGCCCAACTGATGTAATGACGTGCCCTCCCTACCACTACCCTGGCCCTATCCTATCCTATCCTATCACACCCTATCCTATCACACCCTACCCTACCCTACCCTACCACCACCACATCCACAACCACAACCACCGTAGCCGCAATCAGTCAACTTGAGCCTCAACACTCCCGCCCACCAATCACATCCAATATGTTCTCTGCGTCACATGGGCACAACCACAACAGGCACAAGCCTCATCCTTCTCGACCATATATACTAGTATTGGGTACTATCTACGGAGGTGACTGTCAAAAGTTCTTGCTAACAGGGGTGCATTAATTACCGCCAAAAATAGGGCTAAAGCTATATAGATTAGTCCCACTACCTCTTTTTATACTTATTACCACCTTTAAGTTTGATAATTTCTTAAATATAAAATAAAATACGCTCTATCTAAGCTTAAATTTAGTATTAAAGTTGCTTATTCTAGTACTATTACTATACTGTTATTTCTTTTATTTAACTTCTTAATATACTTTTTTATATTATTTTTCTTTTTAGCTATAGCTAAGCTACTTTAATAGTATGAAAATTAAGTAAATTACTTAGCTATAAAAGCTACTTTACCTTAGCGTTTTAGTATATAGTTCTTCAAGCGTAGTAAGTATATAAAAGTACTTTATTTTTTTAAATAAAAATATATAGTTTCTCTTTTTAGTACTTTTTTATGAAAAGAATTAGCTTTAAGATAAAAACTTAAGTTTAGTAATACTACTAATCAATACTACTATAACTACTTTCATAAGCTAGCTTACTTATCTTTTTTATTTGTCTTTATTATAAAACTTTACTAAGCTTATTATATAATTTAAGCCTTTTTATACTTATTATAAGCTTCTATACCTCTTTCATATAAGGCTTTAAAGCTTTATCTAACTTTTTAACTTAGAAAGTAGCGTTTTTTTCTTTTATATAGTCTTAGGCTTTTAAATATAGTCAAAACTTTTATAGTTATATATAAAGTAGCCTTAAAATATAAATTTAGAGTACCTCTTTTACTACTTTTAAATAATACTTTTAGTAAAAACTTGTAACGGGCTGAACGCCCTTTGGATAGCTCCTCGATGGAATCTCGGTCAAGCAGCA